AAAAATTATTTGACTAAATTTAGCAATTTGTAAAGTGAGATAATTTTCTTGCGACATTTTCATGCATGCAGATGTTTTATAAATTGTTTATAGGAAAATTTTGATTTCTTGTTTTCCTAAGATCTGGTAATACTGCTCACCTCTCTTTTGATGAAGTTGTCAATGTGATAAAACATTGAAGCTCTGGGGTGCTCAGAGTCACTTTGGATGATACTGAATTTTTCAATTTGTTCTTGCACTGATTTTCCTGTTTTATAATAGACTCTAAAGCAACGGAAAACAAAAGAAAAAAAATTGCAATGCATATAGAACTGCTTTTCACTTTTTTAACTTAAATATTTAAAGTTTTACCCATACAACTATTTAGCAAAACCAAGTAAAATAAGTTTCAAGTTTGAGTTTTTAATACATCTTTCACCTACTGACACTCGTGTCCTAATGAATAACTTGTTGACCTGTATATTACTTTCATTACATCTTTTAACTAATCAGGCGATAAAACAGAACTTACGGAAAAATGGAATCAAACTCCTCCTCAAAGTTTTTGTGCATGTTTTGGGCCAATACCATGTTTAGATCCAAGTCTATACCCCATGCATTTGACCAATGGTAGCCATCATTTGTACACAACGCCTTGAGGATTTTATGGAATCCTCCTTTGCCGTGAGGTAAATTCTAAACAATCATGCATAAAATATCACTGCAGTTAATAATAATAATAATAATAAAAACAACAGAAAATCACATTTTTGCACTACATTTCAATACAACAGAATCACACTTACAGGTGATATAATGGAACATGCACTGGTAAGACATGATCTCTCTGACTCTTCCACTCCATCTGAGAGACACTTTTCCAGAACACAACAAAGCATGTCAAACTGCCAACCTAACTTCTCCAGTGCCTTACATAGGTTCTGCTCCAATTTTTTGTGGACCCCTGTCTGAACCTAAAGAACACTCAAACAACAGATTAATATATATCAATTGATGTCAATAGATATGAAACGGATATATCATATCCATTGTCAGCTTTTTGAACACATAAATAACTTGTACCACATTGCCTGTCTCCGACTGCACACTTTTGATCAAGGACAAAATTCCCTTCGCTTCATTGACATAATCTCTGGCCAGGTCTTTGTTGATGCTGTTGTTAATATTCTTCAAAACATCCTGCAGCTTTGGGATTTCTACAGATTGTTCAAATTAATTTGTTTTAATTAATAAATATTATCAATAATGTATATGAACATTTCCTTTTAGCTTTGTTAAACTTTTTAAATTGTTGATTAAAAAAGTTAAAGGTTATTTTCCCAGAAGTGATACTTTACCTGTGTCACTGTGTTCCAGGCGTAATGTTTTGTCAAAAAATGCCCTTGTGCTTACAGTAAAAATGTTTAGAGACATCTTTTTCTATAATAATAAGAACAACACATGAGTCTGTATATAGCAAAAGAAGCAATGTCCAAATGTACATATGTTGCATATATTAACATAATACCTTTAATTTAGAATTTTCAAAGCTTTCTCTCACTGTCTCTTTGGAACAGATGTTCCTCTTACGTATACATGCTGTTTTCAGATCCTGAAAAATGATTACCGATAAAATTACTGTAAGGTTCCATTTGTTATAATGTTACAACCTTAGTTAACATGAACTATCAATTAACAACACTTGTACGGCATTTATTATTCTTAATGGTAATTTCAACATTTACTAATAATACGTCTCTAGGTTACGTATGTATCCCTAGTTCCCCGAGGGAACGAGACGCTGCGTCAAGACGCTATGGGAACACCTTCAGTGTGACCACGCTCTGAACCACATGTGTAATCAGTCCAATGGATGGGCAAGACGTCATGAACGGGGTGACGTAGAGACCATAAAAGCACGTGCGTTGGAGACAGCGGCATCTTCTGGATTGAGAACTAAGTGCTCACAGG